TGAAAATCCCCATGCAGGAATCTCCTGGGCAACTGTCCAGAGAGGGAAGCCAGGAGCCAAGTCACACAGCAGGAAAGCAGAGAGGCTGGGTGGAGAATACAGGTGTCCGGACTCCTGCTCTGGGTCACTTCTGGGTCCTGAGGGGGGCGGGGGGGGGGGTGCCTTGCCCCTCCCCTGCCCGCTTTAGCCCCGCCTCCTGTCTGCTGTCCATGTGGACAATCCCAGCCCATTTTTACAGAAGTGTCTGTAAAGTCAGTTCTTTTTTTCCTTTTTAAAAGTAAAGCATGTTTACTGTAGACAAGTCAGGACACAGAAAAGGACATCAAAATTAAAATAATCTGTTACTCCCCTTCCCGAGATATTGCTAGGGATTAATATTATACTTGAACAAATAGCATGATATGTATTTTAGTAGAAATCAAATTAAAAAGATTTCTTCACCACTGAGTCGTTGGTGAGAGGCAAATAGGGTGGAAATTAAGAGCGTGGACTCAAAACGTTTTAGCTGCCATTTACTCTCTGGGTGACAGTGGGCCACCACGGTCACCCCTCTGCCTCAGTTTCCCCTGGCGGTGGGGTAAGAATAGCGCCCACCTCTCAGGGTTGATGTGAGGAGTAAACGAGGAAACGTAAACCTGCGTGTGGCTCTTATTTAGGACTCAAGGTTAGTGTCATTGTGACGTCTTTGTTCCGTTGGATAGAATTTAGCTTACTTACCTAGAATCACAATTTGGTCCTGTGTTCTGGAAGGTTTCCTGTCGAAACCCCCAGGCTCTCTCTACTGAGCTCTTCTTCTGGGGAACTGTGGGGTGGGTGGGGTGGGTGGGGGGCTGTCGATCCTACTGTTGGTGGTCCTGGGTCTTCACCGGGCATCCCGGGGTGAGGGCGCCCCGGTGGCCCAGCTCCCTGAGCTGTGCCTGGGCCTGCGGGGATGCTTGTTGCTAAAAGCACAGCTTGTACTTTTCATGTAACTTGGCCCCTAAATGCAAACCATTTTTATCCCACCTGCTGCTCAACCAGAGGAAACCCAGCGATGTGTGCCAACCCTGGAGGCAAAGCTGGCTGTCAGACTCCCCCAGATGGGCCCGTGCTGTACTTTCTGGGCGAATGGCGGGCGGGGGGGTGGATTTCAACGGTGCTTTTGACGGGCCTGGACTCTCACCGGGCTGGGCAACCTTGAACCCGGCCCTGGCTGAGGCACTGAAGTGCCGTGCTGATGCTCAGCTTGTGCCAGGCTCCGTGGGTGCCAGTGACCCTGGGCACATCAGCTGCCCCCTGACCTCCAGGAGCCGCAGCCTGGTCCGGAGCCAGCGTATGAGTCCAGGACGCCCAGCGTCTGGGAAGTCGGAGGAGGGGTTCCAGCCCACAGGGTGGCAAAGGCAGGTCATCAGGAGAAAGTCCAGGTTCTTAGTGGCCCTGAGGTCCTCCCCAAAGTTAGCCTGAGCCACTCGCTGCCCCAGTCTCTTGTGCTTCTTGAACACCTCACATTCGTTTTGTTTTTTAATGTTTTTATTGACTCATGAGAGAGAGAGAAGGGGAGAGGGATAGAGATAGAGAAACATCATCGATCGGCTGCCTCCTGCACACCGAGCCTGAAACTGGGGCATGTGCCCTGACCGGGAATGGAACCCGTGACCTCCTGGCTCAGGGGTCAGCGCCAGCCCTGAGCCTCACCAGCCTGCACATCACGTCTTGTGCTGCTCAGTCTTTCTGCGTGGTGACCCTCCGGCCCCAAACCCCATTGTCTGTCCCATTTCTTCCACCCCCAGCACGTGCTTTCCGACGGATCCTCTAATCTTCACATTCTGCCTCTAAGCAGCCTGCCCGGCTTTACCTACTCCAGGTGCTCGTGTCGCCCCTGCCCCAGGTTCACCACAAGACTGTGGCCACAATATCGCGATGACTCCTCTCTCTCCCCTGCAGACCGTCTCTATTCACAGCCGGATAGCTCCAGCACTTATTCGTGGAACAGATATCTATGGAGCGCCTACTGCGTGCCAGGCACTGTGCTAGGGGAGAGAGCTGAGAATGAAACAGACTCACAGAGCTTGCAGTCTAATGGATGAGGGGGCGGATGAGAGGGGAGAGAGAGAGAGGTAGTAAGTGACATAATGTCAGGAGAGTCCAGTAAGGTAATGGGATGAAAGCGATGGGAATAGGAAGTGGTCAGGGAGGCCTCTCGGAGGAGGTGACGTTTGAGCTAAGCCTGAACAAGGAGGAGAAGGAGGCCATGTGAAGCTCTGGGGAGGAATGTTCCAGGCAGGAGGGCAGCAGGCTTCCAAAATGTTTTACCACGATTCATGGTAAGAAATACAGTTCCCATCACAGTCTGAGTTCATGCACACATATGTAACTGAAACAAGTTTCAGGAAATGATTCTTCCCCTTGCACATGTGATGCACACAGATACTTTCTATTCTGTTTCATCTTTTTTGTTGTTGTTAATCTTCACCAGAGGATATTTTTCCATTGATTTTTAGGGAGAGTGGAAGAGAGAGGGAAAGACAGAGAGAAACATCGATGTGAGAGAAACACACACCCATTGGTTGCCTCCTGCATGCACCCTGACCAGGGCCGGGGAGGAGCCTGCAACCGAGGTACGTGCCCTTGACTGGAATCGAACCCCGGACCCTTCAGTCCACAGGCCAATGCTTGATCCACTGAGCCAAACTGGCTAGGGTTTTTTTTATATATACTTTTATTGATTTCAGAGAAGAAGAGAGAGCGAAAGAGATATAGAAACATCAATGATGAGAGAGAATCATCGATCAGCTGCCTCCCACATGCCCCACACTGGGGATCAAGCCCGAAATCCAGGGAATCAAACCCTGACCTTCTGGTTCATAGGTCGATGCTCATTGAGCCACACCAGCCAGGCTGTTTCATCTTTGAAATGTGCTAGTTGCAGTCCACAGAATTGATTTCAGGGTCCATTAATGGACGGTGACCTGAAGTTTGGTCATTTTAGACCACAGTAGGAGCTTGGGTCTTATTTTTTAAATTGTCATACAGTAAAATGGACTTTTTAATACAGTTCTCTGAATTGGGGGTGTTTATGTCAATCCCTGGGTACAAAGTGGGTGCTTAGTGAATATTTGCTGAAGGAATGAAGGAGGAGGATGTTGGAGGAGGCTGGGTGGGGTGGGTGGGTTTCTCTGGTGTGAGGGACAGCAGGCAGGTTCTGGGCCACGGCTGCCCACGGGGGCGTCGGTAGGGCAGCTCCTTGCTGGCCCCAGGGAGCCAGCCCTGTTCCCGATCTTCGGCCAGCACCAGCACCGTGCGGTTCCCTTCTTTTCCTTCCCTCCAGCCCCAGTGCCCGGGGAGGGGGAGGAAGCTCCCCGTCCTGCCATGGGCTGGGCACTGTTAGTTCTGTGATTGTGCGGTTGCCTCTGCACACGGCCCCTGGGCGAGCAGCTTGCATTCGGGACTTAGCTTGGAGGTGGAGGTGTCCGCTGGTCGGTGTGAAGGGGGCGCCTGCCCCGGTCCCGCTGCACTGGGACCCAAGGTGATGTCTGCGGAGCTCAAACCTTCGGCCAGGTTGTGGCCGCCTGGAAGCCCAGCGTCTCCACCTGCCTCAGGTCTGTTTTCCGTCCCTTTGCAGCCGGTGTCTCACCACCCGGAAAGGGCCCGTCACCCTCCTCCCCGCCATCCACTCCAGTGGAACCAGAAGAGAGGGCTCAGGTAGGCAGAGGCCTGGGAGGGCGGGTGGGGCGGGGGAGAAGGTCGGTGGGCAGGGACAGCGGGATTGCAGTGTTCAGAGGACACTTGGACCTTTCCCACTGGCTTTGGGAGTGGAGTCTCAGAGGCCAGGCCTGGGAGGGGGCACAGGGCAGCCCACAGCACTGACTCTGCCACGTTGGGCCTGATGGGATTTAATACACTCGCCTGGCGGGACAGCTTTTCACCTCCCTGATGGTTCTGTTTAACCCTCTAACAACCCTGGAGGTGGCTATTATGTGTCCTGATATACAGATGAGAAAACTGAGGCTCAGACAGGCTCGCTCAAGGTCACAGAGCTTAGAAGGAGAGAAACTGGGAGTTAAGTCTGCTGGGGCTCTAGGAGGGAGGCAGGGAAGACGGGCGAGGGCAGTCACCCTGGGCCAGCCTGCAGGGTAGGAGCCGCTCTCTGGGCTGTAGTTTCCTTGCACCCTGTCCCCCTCCAGGGCTCTGACGAAGCACGTTAGCACTGGGCAGGTGTCCGCAGTGTACATGGGGGGCAGCGGCCATTAGAGGGACTAGGATGGCTGGTGATCGTGCCCCCACCCCCAATCTGCCCGCCCTGTTCCCCGCAGGGCGAGGAGCTCGCCTCAGGTCACCTGTCGGAGCAGGGCGCCCACCGGACCCCCAGCAGCGTCTGTGCAGCCTGCGGGCAGCACGTGCACCTGGTGCAGCGGTATCTGGCCGAGGGCAAGCTGTACCACCGGCACTGCTTCCGGTGAGTGGCGGGGCCTGGCCGGGCCTCGACCCCAGCACCCCAGTAGCAGGGAGGGAACTTCCGTGGTTCAGCACCACCGTGGGGGGCACCTTGGTGGGCTCTCCTTACGGAGCATCCTGCTTGTCTCCATTTCCTGGGGAGCAACTAAGGCCTCCGAGGGGAGACCTGCTCATCGCGTCATTAGAGGCCGGAGTGGGCTGGAGCCCAGGGTTCTGCCCCGGGCGGCGCTCTTGGAGGTGAACCGCCCATGGTGTTTTAGGACAGTGGTTGGCAAACCGCGCTCGCAAGCCACATGCGGCTCTTTAGCCCCTTGAGTGTGGCTCTTCCACAAAATACCATGTGCGGGCGCGCACGTATAGTGCGATTAAAACTTCGTGGCCCATGCGCAGAAGTCGGTTTTTGGAAAGGAGATAGACGAAACAAGTATACAGGACGAGTGTGGATGGGAGAGTTGGAAGGGGTCAACCTTAGCGAACGTACCTCAATCAGATTGAGGACGTTTTTAGCAAAGGCCAGCTTAGGAGCACCCTAATTAAGTTAATAACAATGTACCTACCTATATAGTTTAAGTTTAAAAAATTTGGCTCTCAAAAGAAATTTCAATCGTTGTACTGTTGATATTTGGCTCTGTTGACTAATGAGTTTGCCGACCACTGTTTTAGGAGCACAATCTGCTTTAAGGCCACTGGGGA